AGAAAATCAAAAAATGTGAAAATGATAATAAAGGCACATTAGTAATTTATTATATTTTTCTTCTCAAACCCCCGCCCCCAAATTAGGGAAACTCTGATTTTAAAGGATGATAAGGGTATTGGAGGATTTTACAAAAAAATCTATTCATTTTCCCTATTTTTTAAAACTCACATACAAGGAAAATGCATAAGCAAAATTTCCCCCTTCCCTTTCTTTCCCAATTAATATTGACCTATGTAGCACCGATACTGACACGGGACACGTGACACGATACGACACGACACTCCGACACGTTAATTCTAAAAAATGTTAAATTTCGACACGTTATGACACGTTTTGATATTAAATAATATTTTTAATTTATGTAGTATATATTATATTTAATATTCAATAATTTAACAAAAAAAATGAAACTAAACTTATAATATTCATCAATTTTGCAAAGAAACATAAGATATCCCAAATATTTATGTTAAACTCAATAAAATGGTAATCGAAATTCAACGAATCTAATAGTTGAAACTAAAAACTCAAAGCAACGCAATCTTTAAACTTTTTCTTGAATTTCTATAACACGTGTTAGAGTGTCGGAGTGTCGGTGAGTGTCGGGAAGTGTCAGACACGACACGTCAGGGTTTTTGAAGTGTCGGTGCTTCATAGATATTGACTACCAAACGCACCTTACCTTATTGATGTGTGGATGGCAATTTTCTCCTACCGTTGGCTTTTTCTGATTGATCAACATTGATATAAAAGCTAATGATTAATTGGCTTGTATGAATCAAAGTCTCATGCTGGTTAGATATGGACTAAGTGAATATATATATATATATATATATATATATATATATATATATATATATATATATATATATAGAAAGACTCCAACTTAATACCTTAATATTTTAGATTGAAATATAATGTTAATCGGGCTTTTAGTGGAGTAGCACCGAATTAGATAATCATTCGTTGATTATCAAGAGCCTTGATTAATAACAGATGGTAGATCCCCAGGCTAGCTCAAGAAAAGGGATGGGACAATTTCAGTTGATGACGACTAGTGGGATACATGGACTTGGGCTTTGGGCTCAAGTTTGTACTCAAGAGCAAGTGGGAGATTGTTGGGTTTTGCTCTTTCACTAAATCCAATAGGGTCTAGTGTGTAAGAAGAGCCCAAGAAACCTAAAGCTCATTCTGCTTAGGTCTAGGGTTTCTTGGAACCCATATATATTCTACATGTATAGTCATCAGCCTCTCTAGTCTTCACTTGGCAAGTTGTAGAGGCTGAGGTAATGTCATCTTCGTGAAAGTGAGAGAGTGCCCACACACTTCTCATTCCCCTTTGAGACATAGTCTGAAAGATCTGCCACAGTTCAACTTCAAGGAGGTTGTTCGTGCTACGGCGCTGAGGTGAGCTGTTAGTGAAGAGGAATCATACAAGGGAAGATTCTACACGAGACCTGCGCACCAAGAGGTAATTGTGAAACAAGATGATTCAGTAAACATACCAATGTACTAGGTCCTAAACCGCTTCCACGTAAATTCAATATTAGTGCCTATAGTTGCTTAATCTATTGACGGGTGAATGATAATTTTTCCTAGATTCGATATCAGAGTCATTGATTATAGCCAGAGATTCGGTATCGAGCCCATATATAACGATAAGTATTGTTGTATGAGCTCTCTTAACCGGCCAACAGTAAGATCGGCTAAAAGCTTGTGTTGTGAATCTTGTGATCGCTTCCAACCTGCAATTATAAAAGGAAACATAAAAATAGGATCATTAAACGTACTAGATTAAAAATAAAATGTCGCAATAGCTTAAAATAGTTAAAATGTAAGTTCAATCGTGGACCCCAATTTAAAGCCTTGGTAGACATCATCATCTTAAAAAAAATAAAAAAATCTGTGGGTCTAATTTGCAAAAGAAAAGGAAGAGATAAAGATCTCAAGTGATCAACAGTAAGTGCATGAATATCATAATGGTTGCATGACTCATAAGGTGTTTCTTTTTTATGAGAACTCGACAGAATGTGCGCTCAAAGTGCCAATGCAAGCGTGGACTGTTAAGAACCACAGACTCTCCAACTTTGTGGCAATTTAACTTTCAATCATGCGCGGCAAGATTATCCAAAAGTGTACATGAGGGGACCATTATTCTTTTGTACGTTTATTCATATATATACATTTATATTATAAATTATATTATAAAATATATGTCACTTTACATCATATTTATTAACTAATTCTCAAACTTATTTAAATATTAATTTACTTTTATTCAATTATATAACTATATTTAGGTAATGAGTATTCCTATATAAAAAAAATCCTTTTAGGTTTGTTAACCCAAATCCACTTTTGTGAAATCATCATTAATCTTCACTTAAAATTATCCATAAATGTGCATGAGATTTTTCTAGATTATAAATGTAGCAGTGATTTTCTTTTCTTTTCCCTCCTTTTTTTACGTCTTTGAGACGAGTTAATCCCATAAGTTTTAACTCTTTGAATACCTATAAAATTAATCTTGAATTGAGACTTAGTCACAATTTTGTTTTTTAAACTGAGTTCCCTTCTTTAAAATGAGTTTACTGACGGAAAGATCATTCTTTATCACCAGCAAAATCTAACAAGTTTTCATCAATATATCTCACACATACATTAAAAAAATTAAAAACTCACCAACAACCACCGGCTCAAGTTATAAGAAACTTATTCCATTTAATTAGAGATTTTGAGTTCAAGCTTGAAAATGGAGAAAATGATCTTGGGGTCCGACAATATTTGAACAAGACTAGTTGGGTAATCGAACTGATTGATATATCCAAAACAACAAAATTACAAACTTTGTTGTGCATTTTTTTATTTTACAGATAATTTTCTATTATTTTTATGGAAAAAATGTGTATCATTTTAAAGGATGTAAAGTTGTGTCATTTTAAATGAGAGAAAGAGATAGATTATGTAGGGGAGAGAGAGTGAAAAAAAATAAAGATATGGGTCTCACCTCTTTGTAAAGTAAAATGATACAAGTTGTATCATTTAAAAGGACAAACACTTTTTCCTATTTTTATTTATTTATTATCAAGAGGGTCTCTAGCAAGGACATAATATAACAAAAAAGAGTAGCATGAAGACAAAGTAGCTTTTGTAAAATTAAATGACTGGATGCTACATGAGATAACGTTTATGAATTATTTATATCACGTTAATCATGATTAAAAAAATTTATGCATTTTTATAGAAAAGCATGCAGTTACGTGTGTTCATTACAACAACAAAAAAATTATTGAAAAATTACACAATATACTATTAAGTCTAAAATGTTATTTGGAAATTTTAATTTTTTTCTTGAAAAATATTTATAATTTAAGGTTTGAAACTATATATAAAATTAGATATTTTCATTGATTTAAAAATTCTGGGCTCGCCCCTCATCATAACTGCAGTTTGGTCGAGCCATGCGAGTTGTGTCTGTTTTTTGAATTACATTATTAAATTTGTTTATATTTATATAAAAGTATTCAAGATTCGGTCCTTTTTCCTTTAAACGCTTGTGTCCATTCCCAACCATCTCCAAAACAAAAAAGTCATAACGAAATAAGGGAATATACATGCATGTCAACAGATCCTTTCAGGTTGCCCTCAATATGGGACCAACTATTTGGACATATCCCTTGGAGCATGTGACCAAACATGTTAATCTTTGTAAGCTATTTTATCTCATGCTAAACTCTTAGATCATCGATATTATTTTAGTAAATTATTAAATATAATTGTAATTGACCATAATTACAAATATATTTGGACTCGATAGGCAGGCATCAAAAAATTATTTAATGGGGCTGCTTGAATTTTATATATATACAATTTTGAACATGTGTAGTTACGTCTAATTTTTTTTTTTTTTTTTCTTTATAAAAATCCGGTCTTCGGTTACTAACGTATGCTGACTTATCTGAATTCAAACTGGGCAAAGATGATAAGACCCACAAAACTCTTCCTAAAACTTGCGTCCAAGTTTTACTATGCACTCATGCAACTAGAGTTGTTTAAAGAAAATTTAATCTATGCACTGCTCTCTGCCATTTCTCGCTTATAGTTTATTGTTTTCCATTGGCTGAGCAAATTGTGTAATATATACGTCACATCTTAATTGTTACATTTTAGTAATTCCCATTTGCAAATTCTCCATCAACGGCATTAATATTAAGATTAATAATTGGACCAAGTAGAAGAAACAGAAAACAAGTTACATTAAGAGTCGTATACTAATAATATAAGATGTTGAACACGTGGATAAACTTAAGGGTTGGAATGTCATGGAAGCTTTTGCGTGTCATAGCCACTAGCCATAGTCCACACACCAAATTGCATAAATGGTGACATCAAACAAAAGCACCCCAAATTTGTTGTACTCAAGTGAGAATTCAACACATAATCTAATATAATCTATCCAAAAAAAATTTATTGTTTAAATGCCTAATCTATCTGACATATTAATGAAAGGGAACATGCATGTACCATTAACAAGCCTTTAAATTTCTCACCTTTTTTTTCGGTAGCTCTGATTTTTCCCTTACTAGGTAACATAAGAGTAATTGTGCTCAGACAAAAAACACGTCATCTATATAAACTTCTAAGGTGGGGAAGGGGATGCTATAAGATTTTGGAATTGCAATTGCTAGATACCTTCTTAGACATCACTTTCAGATTGTTAACATTTAAGAAATGAAAAATGAATAAACGGTGGTGGCAGCTTATATGGTTTAATTTGGTCAAATATTCAAGAGTTTTAGCCACCAAGTGGGTCCAACCTAGGCCAAAGTGGCAAGACAATTCAACAACGGAACGAAAAAAAATACACACACAAGCTATGAAGCTATGATATGGACTAGAGCTAATAATAAAATAAGGCTGAACAAAGCAGATAATTAAGATATATTCATGTAATTTTTAAATAGTATTTAGTTATGTTTGGTCTTGATCTAAAGGTCTATAAATACCATCCTCCAAAACTCTAATAAGCATAGAGCAAACTACATTACTTAGAGAAAGAAGCATTGAGAAAGATTTTAGAGTTTGAGAAATGGAGAACTTCCCAGTTATCAGCTTGGACAAGCTCAATGGTGAGGAGAGAAAAGTTACTATGGAGAAAATCAAGGATGCTTGTGAGAACTGGGGATTTTTTGAGGTACCTTATGAACCCAATGAAGCCTCTCTCTTTTTTTCCTCTGTTCTTTGTTAGTTATTGTGCTTTGTTTTGGTACTTGTCTTTTATTGTTTGCTTTGGTAACTGTAGGTGGTGAATCATGGCATACCCTATGATTTAATGGACACTGTGGAGAGGTTGACCAAAGAGCACTACAGGAATTGCATGGAACAAAGGTTCAAGGAATTAATGGCCAGCAAAGGGCTTGAGGGTGTTCAAACTGAGGTCAAAGATATGGATTGGGAGAGTACCTTCCAATTGCGTCACTTACCTGAGTCAAACATTTCAGAGATACCTGATCTCACTGATGAGTACAGGTTACACACAAATCAAATATTTGTCAGTATATATATTGCATGACATAAGAGGGTGAGCCTTTGAGTTGCACTAGAAGGTCACGGATTCGAATCAGAAAAACAATAAAATAATAATAATAATAATAATTGATATAATTTGCTAAGAGTTCCCATATGAATTGGAGCAAAAGTTATCCTTTAAACATTGCTCAATTTTGATTTTGTTTCTTTATATCCTTTAGAGTGTTGTCCCAAGACATTACCAAATGATGCCAAAATTCTAATTTACTCTAGGCAATGATGCAGGAAGGTGATGAAGGAATTTGCTTTGAAGATAGAGAAACTAGCAGAGGAGCTGCTAGACTTGTTCTGTGAGAATCTTGGACTAGAGAAGGGGTATCTCAAAAACGCCTTCTATGGATCAAGGGGACCAACTTTTGGTACCAAGGTTGCTAACTACCCTCCATGCCCAAATCCAGACCTGGTTAAAGGTCTTCGTGCCCACACTGATGCTGGTGGAGTTGTCCTTCTTTTCCAAGATGACAAGGTCAGTGGCCTTCAGTTGCTCAAAGATGGCAAGTGGATAGATGTGCCTCCTATGCGCCATTCCATTGTCATCAACCTTGGTGACCAACTTGAGGTAAATATGTTAAGACATTTGTGGTGAATCAACTCTCCCAAAAAGATTAAGCTAGTTGGAAAAAGGCATATGAATGATTTTTTTTATATTTCTAAAACGTTCCATCAAAAGACCTCAAGTTTATTTATTTATTTTAATTATAAGAATGGGGTAACAAGGATCAAACTCTGAATTGTTTGGCTATAAAGGCTTTGATATTTTTAGTGAAATATAAAACCATTCATGGGACTTTACTTATCAAGCTTAAACTTTTGGTTAAATAATTCTTTACATGGTTTTAAAACCAAGGATCACGAGTTCAATCCACATCATTCATAGAACCATTGATGGGTCTTCTTCACATATCAAACTCAAGTTTTTGGGTTGAAATAATTCTTTACAGATACTATATCATGAACCAATTCTCTCTAAAGCTTAAGTTTCCAATGAAAGGAACATAAATGGTTTCTATTATATCTCTAACAACATTTGCACAACATGTCAAATGCAAAATCATGATTCTTAATGGTGAAACAGGTAATCACCAATGGTAAGTACAAGAGTGTGGAGCACCGTGTGATAGCACAAACTGATGGGACCAGAATGTCAATAGCCTCATTCTACAACCCTGGTAGTGATGCTGTTATATACCCAGCACCAGCAATAGCACAGGAGAATAACCACGTGTACCCAAAATTTGTGTTTGAGGACTACATGAAGCTCTATGCAGGGTTGAAGTTCCAAGCCAAGGAACCAAGATTTGAAGCCTTCAAAGCATCAAATGCCAATCTGGGTCCAATTGCAACTGCTTAAATCTGTTTTACTATAACTACAAAAGGTGCTTGTTTAGAGAAAAGCAAAGAGATGTATAAGTATCTTAAATGAGTATGTGATGATTTACTATAGTGAGTGAAATGATTCCTTGTACTATTATAAAATGACCAAAAATATCGATGTTTTATAGTAAACTATTATTCAATTAGAATAATCTTTATTGCCTCTTGTATTTCTCTATCTCATTTCCTTTTCCGATTTTGGTTGGATATGAATGATGAAGCTAGCTGTGTTTTGGACCACAAATTATTATAAACACAAGTTGTCAGTCTTAAAGAATGTAGACCTATGCTTATCCAACAGATAACAACCATATGAAGATATTAGATAAACTTGATATTTCAACTGTGTGTTTATCTCATTCATTGGTAGCCTTTAAATAGGCGAACATACAATAAATGGTAACAACGTAACAGACTAAAACAAATAAATACTCTATCTAAACAGTCCTACGGTTACAAAGAATTGAATTCAAACAATATACATTACACAGAATTCAAACCTACGGTTACAAAGAATTCAAACAATATACGTTACATATAATCTCCAACACTCCCCCTCAAGTTGGAGTATGTAAGGATGAAATGTCCAACTTGGGAAGAAAACTAAGAAGCTCGCGTTGTCCCAAGGCTTTAGTAAACAAATCAGCAAGTTGGGAACGAGAAGGCACATGAGCTGTTGTAATATGCTTGGCTAGAATATGTTCACGTACAAAGTGGCAATCTAACTCAATATGCTTGGTACGCTCGTGAAACACCGGATTCGCTGCAATGTGTAAAGCAGCTTGGTTATCACAAAACAATTCCATAGGACTTGAGTGAGTGACCTCAAGAGAGGTCAGAAACGACTTGAGCCACACAATCTCTGCTGTAGCTGCAACCATTGATCTATACTCTGCTTCTGCAGAAGAGCTAGACATCGTTACTTGTTTCTTGGTCTTCCAGGATACGGGTGAAGAACCCAACATAATAAAGAAACCAGTGAGAGATCGTCTGGTAAGAGGACATGAAGCCCAATCTGAATCACAATAGGCATGAATTTTTAGGTCACAATCCGATTTGAGGAGAAGTCCTTGACCAGGATCTCTCTTTACATATCGAATAACCCGGAGAACAGCCTCATAATGAGCTAGGCGCGGTGAATGCATGAATTGAGAAAGGATATGAACAACATAGCTCAGGTCGGGTCTTGTGATAGTGAGGTAAATCAACTTACCAATGAGTCTTCTATACCGTTCAGGGTTCTCATATACTGGTTCGTCATCCAAGGCAAGACGATGATTTTGTTCTATGGGGGAAATCGCCGGTTTACATCCACTGAGCCCGGAATCAGAAAGAATATCCAGGGCATACTTACGCTGACATAAAAAAATTCCTTTCTTGCTGCGGGCAATTTCAATACCCAAAAAATATTTCAGACTACCCAGGTCTTTTATTTTAAAACACTGATTCAGATACCCCTTGACTGCAAGACAAGCATGTGAATTATTACCTGCTAAGATGATGTCGTCGACATAAACTAAAAGTGAAAGAGACACCTCCCCTTTTTGCATAGTAAAGAGCGTGTAATCAGCTTTTGACTGAACAAATCCATATGCCGTCAACGAACTGCTGAGTTTGGAAAACCAGTTTCGGGGTGATTGGCGCAAACCATACAATGACTTTGTAAGACGACATACTTTATGCTTAGACCCAGTACTGAATCCAGGGGGAATCTCATGTAAACTTCCTCACTTATTTCTCCATTCAAGAATGCGTTATGAACATCAAGCTGGTGCAACTCCCAGTTTCTTGCTGCAGCCACTGCAAGCAATGTACGTACACTCACCATCTTTGCCACTGGTGCATAAGTCTCACTGTAATCTTCTCCGGCAATCTGATAATTACCTGCAATCACCAATCTTGCCTTATACCGTTCCACCGTTCCATCAGAACGATATTTTATTTTAAACACCCACATGCTTGGAAGAGCACGCTTCCCTGGAGGTAAATCCGTGAGGCACCATGTATGGTTGTCTTCTAAGGCTGTGATTTCAGCCCTCATGGCTTCCACCCATCGGGAGTCTCTCATAGCATCTTGAAATGTACGTGGTTCATGACCTGTGTCAATAGCTGCAACAAAATCTTGATGTTGCATAGAAAAGTTAGTGAGGCTAAGATAATTGCACATAGGATACCGAGTACCTGAGGTGACATTGGTTTGAGTAGGGGAGAGATGAAGGAGTGTGTGTTTCAGCTACTTGACATGCATAGTCCTGCAAATAAGATGGCTGCTTCCTGGTACGGTGCTGGCGTGTGACTGTTTGACGTAGATTTGCTTCCAGCAACTGCTGTTGGGTTGATGCATCACTAGAACTCGAACTTCTTTCTAGTAAGGAGGACTCCCTAGCGGCAACTTCGTTAGTTGGTGTTGCTTCCAGCGAAACACTCCCCCTATCGTCCAGAGGAACACATGATCCACTAGGCGTTGGGCTGTCATTTGATGCATCAGAACCGTCATGGACAATTTGGCCTTCGTCAAAGTAATTTGGCTCTGTAGGCACACGAGAATTTGGTGCAGAAACAGATTGTACTGGAGCTTCGTGAAAAGGAAAAATATTTTCAAAAAATTTTACATCCCTGGACACAAAGCTTTGTTGCGCTTCTATATCAAACAATCTCCAACCTTTCTGCCCTATTGCATATCCGATGAAAACACATCGTCGCGAACGTGGAGCAAACTTGTCAGTTGGTTTCGGTCTTGTATTAGCAAATGACAGACAACCGAACGTGCGCAAGTATGTATAATCTGGTTTAACTCCATGCAATTCTTCATGTGGTGACCTGCCTCTGAGAACTCTTGTAGGTGTTTTATTAATTATATGAACAGCAGCAAGAATACTCTCCTCCCAAAAATCAACAGGGAGATTTGCATGAAACAGTAAGGCACATGATACATTAAGGATGTGTCTATGCCTCCTTTCGACTCTCCCATTCTGTTCAGGCGTATAAACACAAGTTGTTTGTTGCAAAATACCTTTTTCATTCAAGAGTTTCACCATGTTATTAGATTTGAACTCAGTACCATTATCAGACCTTATTATTTTTACGGTCTTACCAAATTGGTTCAGAACCATAGCAAGAAATTTACACATCCGATCATAAGTTTCACTTTTATCGGCCAACATAAAAACCCATACATGCCTACTATAGTCATCCACCACAGTTAAGAAATAACGTGCACCAGAAGAAGAAGAATTTTGATAAGGACCCCAAGTGTCACAATGGATTAAATCAAAACATTCTTTGCTGCGAGAAAAACTTATAGGAAACATTGATCTAGTTTGCTTGGCACGATGACAAACTTCACATGCCTTACATACTACTTTATTTTGCAAAGCTTTAAATTCTGGAACCAGAGATAAGATATCATAGGATGCATGGCCTAGCCTGTTGTGCCACAAGTCAATTGACTCTCCTGCTTGAACTGCCGAAGCTGAAGCACATGAAGGCTGAAACACATAGACTCCTTCATGAAGTTCACCCAAACCAATCTCCCTCTTCAGCACTTGGTCCTGCAAAATGCACTTTTTATCAGTAAATGTAACGCTACTGCTCTTGGAGTGAAGCAATTGGGAAACAAAGATGAGATTGCAGCGTAAGTTAGGCACATATAAAACATTTGACAAGCTGAAGTTTGTATTAAACACCATCGAGCCTTGTTTTGCAGCATAAGTAATAGAACCATTTGGTAGAGTCACAGATAGAGGGGGAATAGGTGTAATGTCAGCTAATAAAGCCAAAGTGCATGTCATATGACGTGAGGCCCCACTATCAATGAGCCATTGAGAATGAATACGCTTACCAGATAATTTTTCATGTGACTGAGGCTGGTCTACCATTGTTAACAGTTTGTTCACAATTTCTGGGGTCAAAACGGAGTGTGCAGCAACTTGAGAAGAGGCAGAATGGGAGACGTCTGGAGGAAGAGTTAGCAGCAACTGGGTGTGAGGCATCCATTGCAAACGTCGCATGAGCATGCGTATAACGTCCTGCCGAACGTCCTCCCCTTCCTCGTCCGCGACCAGCACTCCTGTTTGGTGGAAAACCATGAACGTTCCAGCATTTGGAAGGGTCGTGATTGGTCTTGCCACAATGAGGGCAAGGTATTCTGTCTTGTGGTTTGTTAGGAACCATCCGCTGCTGCATGGACGTGTCTGACTGCTTCATGGAATCGGTTTGGGCTGAGTATCCCACTACCTGACTCCTCTCATCTTGAACGCGAGAAATACTACGATGGGTCTCCTCTTGAGTGACAATTGCGTACACTTTGTTGACACTAGGAAGAGGAGAAGTGTTGAGGATATGGGATCTCAGATTGCCAAATGTAGATTCATCCAGCCCCATCAAAAATTGATAAACACGATCATGCTCTTGCTCCTCCTCGATTGCTTTGGCAATGGCACACTTATAACCACAATCACAAGACTTGCGAGTTTTGCTTCCTTCCAGATCGTCCCATACAGCCCTGAGTTTGGTGTAATAATCACCAACGCTATCTCCATGTTGCTTGATATTGGCTAAACTGGATTTCAGTTGATACTGTCTTGGAAAGTTTTGCACTGCATACCTTTCCTCTAGGTCATTCCATAAGTCCTTGACGTCATCAAAGCACTTGATGAATGGTTGAAGTTTTGCATCAATGGTGTTGTGAATCCAACCATTGAGCATCGAATTGCACATCTCCCAGGCGCGCCACTCTTCGGCATCATCCTCTCCTGGTTTCTTGACTGAACCGGTCACAAAACCCAATTTGTTTTTCGCCTTCAATGCGTTTTTCATGAGCTTGGCCCAGTTGTCATAGTTGGCCTCACCACGCAACATGACAGTCGTTAACAAGAGACTTGGACTGTCGGATCCAGCCAAGTAAAATGGCGAACTAGGATCAGTTGTTTTGGACTTGCTGCCACCACCTGGTGCCATGTTAAATGAACCAGCTTTCGCACTGAAAGGGAATGCGGAAACGTGTATACTAGGATTGCTCTGATACCAAGATAAACTTGATATTTCAACTGTGTGTTTATCTCATTCATTGGTAGCCTTTAAATAGGCAAACATACAATAAATGGTAACAACGTAACAGACTAAAACAAATAAATACTCTATCTAAACAGTCCTACGGTTACAAAGAATTCAAACAATAT